TGCTGAAATTAGAAATCATCATTTCTATTAACAACAAAGTGTTACTGTATAACTGATATTTCATATGACTCTAACCACCAACAGGGTGGGGGCACCCCTCTTCATTTGATAGAAACTTGGGAACCAAATCTCTGCCAGAGCTATGGAGTGGATCACTGCGAAACTCAAGGAGGCCGGGGCAGAGTAAGGGGTCCGGAGGGGAGGCCGTTGCCTTGGTGAAAATGCTGTCCTATCGGGAAGTATGTGTGCTGGTTCTTCCTCAGTCCAGGTACTGGAGCAGCGTGTGATGTTCTAACTCCTGCTGGTCTCTGAGGGTTGTTTAACCAACTTTGGTTCTGGGATAAGGTCGCTTGGGCGTGCGGTGACATGTTCTCTTTGATCACTGCTAGATTCAACCTGAAGTTCTTTTGTGCAGGCTGTTTGCTCGGAGATCTTGAGCGTCAGTCACAGTTCCCTCACAGTTTGAGTTTGACTGCGGTCTCGCCCATCGGCTGACCAGCTGGGCTCAGTTGAGTCCACCGTTCCTTGGGCTCCCGAAGTGCTGGGATTACAGGCGTGAGTCATGGCACCCAGTGTCACCCCCTCCCGGCCCGCCTTTCTTTAATGTGGTAACTAGATCATTTAAAATTGCATATATAACACAGGCCACCCATGCAAGCCTCAATCCTGGGAGATGCTCCCGTTGGAGAAACCTCCAAGAAGCGGATCTGCTTGGATTTGCAAACGGCCCCTCTGGCCCCAGGGATCTGCTGTGCAGAGCTGCTCTGGATTCGGCTCTTCAATACTAGGTCTCTCAAAACACCGAGACCCTATCTCAGCACTGGAGACAGCGGGGCCAGGGTGGGATTTATAGAAAATAAGTCTCTGCCTCTCAGTGCTCTGGTCTGCCATGTGTCTGGCTGCCTCTTCCATCCTGACAAGCACAATGACCGTAATTCCAAACAAAGGAATTCCAAAAAACACACAAGCCCTTGAGTGTACTGTGCACCTCTTGACTTTCGACCAGCACAAAGCTCCTTATTAAACGCTGACAAAAATTCCTTCCATTCCAGGTGCCATAATGGATTCATTAATCTCCTATTGATAGGTTTTTGCTGGTTTTCCTACTTTTTGCTGTTCTAAGCACTGCTGCGAAGACTCTCCTTTTACCCCCACCTGCCCGTGTCTGCCGCAGCTCACATGCTCCGCCTTCCAGCTGTCATAGCTGAGTCCCTGGGTCTCCTCGGTGGGGCGTATCTGTGGGCACAGGGCTGCCCTGCCACATGCCCCACCCCATAACCTTCCATCTGTGGCTGCTCCTTGTGAGACCCTAAACTCACGACCTCCCCTCCTGTCCTCTCCTCTCCTCTCCACAAAGCCACCCTTATCGGAGACAGTCAGTCTGCTACCCAGTTCCCCCAAGGCAAATCCAGAGTCCTCCACTGGCCCACCCTCCTCTACCGACTCCTCCCTCACCCTCCGATCAGGTCAAAGGGCCCCAAACAGAGGCTCCCTGGGCCCTTTCATAAGACAGGAGCTTTTCTTCTCAGGTCCGGCTACAGGTACATTGTACCCGCCTCACTGCAGGAGTGAGAGCCGCAGGGGCCGGCGGAGAGGGCTTGGTTCTTTTGCCTAAAGCCTGCCCCGACTCACCAAAGGCGGTCCGTTAATGTGCACAATGATTACAGAAACACAGAAGTAAGGCTGGGTGTGGTGGCTCAAGCCTGTAATCCCAGCACTTTGGGAGGCCCAGGCGGGTGGATCACTTGCTGTCAGGAGTTCGAGACCAGCCTGATCAACACGGTGAAACCCCATCTCTACTAAAGATACAAAAAATAAATAGTAAAAATCAGGTGGGCATGGTGGCACATGTCTATAATCCCTGCTTGGGAGGTTGGAACAGGAAAATCGCTTGAACCCAGGAGGCAGAGGTTGCAGTGAGCCCGGATCAAGCCACTGCACTCCAGGCTGGGCAACAGAGCGAGACTCCATCTCAACGACCCCCACCCGCCCCGCCACACACAAACAAAATCTTAATCGTAGTAAGACACAGCTGAAAAGATATGACGAAATGACTCCCCGAGGCTACTGCATGCCACCCCTTCAATCATTTTCCATTCAGAAAATTTCAGATCATTTACGTATGTAAAGACAAGGGGTCCTATATTAATGAATCTTCCCCGTCAAAATCCTGGTCAAAGTCAGAAAACAATCCCACCAGACTCCTGGGAGCATCTCACATTGGAGAAACCTGGAGAAGTGGAGAAGCTGATCTGCACGATTTGCAAACCTCAGCACTGGCCCCAGGGGGACCCGCAGCACTGTCGCCCTCCCCCTCTCCATGAGAGTCGGAGCCTCACTCAGACCCACATAGTCAGGATCTGCACCTCCGAAGGCTCCCCCAGGCGGCTCTGGGCGCACGGAAGCTGGGAAGACAGCAGATGGGCCCTGGGGTTGGGGGGTCCAGCACAGTCCAGCCTTTTCTCTTTTGCCTCCTGTCCTGAAGACTTTCACCGTGGGTGTGTGTTAGGGAAGAGGGGAGTGAAGAAAGACAGGGAGAGAAGACGGAGACTGAGTGACGCCTCCATTCCGCAGAGAAAAACACCGACACCCTATCTCAGCACTGGAGATAGCAGGGCCAGGGCGGGGCTTATAGAAAATAAGTCTCTGCCTCTCAGTGCTCTTGTCTGCCGTGTGTCTGGCTGCCTCTTCCATCCTGACAAGCACAATGACCGTAATTCCAAACCAAGGACTGGGAGTTGGGGGTGAAGATGCAGAGAAGGGAGGAGAGGGGAGGGAAACAGCAGCCTCTGGGCAGCTACTGTCTAATAAACACAACACCAGAAAGGGCTTGTAGAAAAGATACATAAAACGCAACCCAACTACTGACACATGGCCCTCTGTTCCATATTCACCCACACGTTCTTAACAGAAACGTAACTGTGAACATGCAATCTGGTATCCCGACATTTGCCCTGACCAGGTTGTTACCGCATCTTCATCTTTCTAATTTTAATTGCTTCTGATGGCCCATCCGATTGGTAGAGCTTATTTAAAGAGCCCTGATTCTCCCTGATATAAGGCTGGAGTCCCGTATCAAAAGCTTTTAGTTTTCTGTAACCAAGGGGAAAACATGCTTCTTTTGAAAGATGACAAAATGTCTGGTTTCGAAGGGTCATCCGAGTACGGCACACAAGGCGGTCTGCATTCATAGAAAATGATGCCATCACACAAATCTCCCACTGTGCGACGGGGTGACACCATCACTCATCATCTGCCTCCCAGACCCGGTAAGTTTTGCAAAATTAATTACTGCAAAAGATCCCATCAAAGAATGTGTGTGCACAAGATGGTGAGGGGCGCCAGAGCTGTGTGAGGCGAAATGGCACTGTTCTCAGTTTCCCCTTCCATCCTACTGGGCTCCGAAGCATTGCTTCAGAGATTTTCAATTTTATCTTTTTTTAAAAAAAAAATTATTTAAGACTTTTATTAACAGGTGCTTGCAGTTTGTTGACTTTTTTGAAAAAAGTTGTAAACTTTTATTACAAATTAAAAAGTTCTTAAAAATCTCAACTTGACCAGACATGAAACAATTTAAAAACCTTTAAAGGCGTATTGAGAGAAACCCCGCTTTTTTTAAAAACACGTTTGTTATTACCAAAAAGAGACGTCTTTAGGTAAAAATAATAAAAACCCCATGTTGCATAGGTAATGCAGATAGTTCTATTTATCTGGTCAACGGGCAAAAAGCAAGCACTTAAGGTCTTCAGCTCGAATGTTTTGTTCATTTCTTATTGCTGGAATTTCATATTTCTTCTTGTTGGATGACTAAACCGGATGATGGTGGAGATGGTAAGCCGGCATTTACTCAGCCCCGCCCTGCTCAGCCTCGGGAGTGGACGAATTCTCAGCTGGTGGATCGGCTGCTTTTGTCTGTTTGCCATCTTGTGGTTGAGAGTTTTCTGGGTGTCTGCGTGGGTAATTGAAGTTGCGGCGGTACCGACGTTGAGGTGGCTGCTGACCTTGGGTCTCATCTCCTTGATTTTCTTTATCTTCTTCATTGCCGTCCTCTCTAGGCTGTCTTTGGCGAGGAGGGCCCCTGCGGAATCGTGGTCTATATCCCCGATACATATTGTGCCTCACTGG